AAAAGTTTTTCCACTTGAGGATTTTGTAAAATTGAAACATTGACAACACAACATTATCATTTCAACTTTAAACAACATTATTATTCTATATTAATCAGCGAACAAATATGGAAAATAAAAACCATGACTGTTCATTTGTAGATTTATGTATCACAAAACCTTCTTGACTTCACATAGACCCAGAGATGGGTAGGACACTAGTTATATTTACTTGAGTGACTCTAAAAAAATAAAAAAGTATTTTTGACCTGAATTTGAGATCCTTTATAAAAGATTTAAAGGCACACAGTAAAAACAATTTAGAAATTTGTTAAATAAATGTATTTACCCTTAATTTGAGAAGGTAAATAAAATGATTTGCCAATGGAATGATTATTTTCACCCTTAAAATAAGATAAGTAGATATTAACTTGAAAAAAGACAATGCACTATTTTTCCCTTATTTTAAATGTAAATTGTCTTGTTCCATTGGCAAAGCATCTAACTTACCTGCTCAATTCAATAAAAAAGGCACTTATTTTGAGAAAAAATTAGTTATTTAGATTTACATTTTTTGCAGTGCAGTTCTACCAGATAACATGGAAACACTGAATTTAAATGAACAAATCGCTTGTCTGAAGAATACTTTTCTAATTATTCTGTTTTTAGTAGATAGAAGTTAATTTCCTAATTCACCAAAAATAGAAAACACACAGTTTATGTGCTCTCAACTAAGTATTTAACACTTGAACATTAAACCAAAGCCAAGATTATTCATTGCTGTACTTTTTGTATTAAGGGAATTAATCTAATCAAAGACTTTGCTGTTTTCTTTTTTATTCTCTTCCTCGTAGTCATGTACTGTTCCGACCCGGGTCACGTGGAGCATTCGACCAGAACTCTGTCTGACCCTAAACTGTTGGTCGGCACAACCATTCAGTACAGCTGCAACCCCGGCTTCGTCATGCAGGGCGGAGCCACCATTACCTGTTATGGTCGTGAGCCAGGGACGCCCGTGTGGACTTCTCGACTTCCTCATTGTGTTTGTGAGTATCAGACAGGATTGTTAAAAATGTATCCTGCAGTTCAGTGTTGTTTTAGTCGATGATGACGAAATAATTTAATTGACGCTACTTTTTAATGACGATAACAAAAACTGACGAGCTAAACATGGATCTTTGATGACTTTGATGACTAAAACATGACTAGTCATAGGTTTGAGTTTTAGTCAATAAGACGGGACTGAATTAAAATTAGTGGGTCGTTTAAGCTGCTTAATTTTGCTATAATCAGCTAAGCTAACTCTGTCAAACTGCTCTGATCTTACATGGAGCTCAGATTCTGTGCTTCATGCTCCGCTCTAATGGTTCGTTCTCAGTAGTATGGCTATTCCATCGCTACTTAATAAACTATATATCACTGATCATCAATTCAATTCAGTTCAGTTTATTTCTATAGCGCCAATTCACAACACATGTCATCTCAAGGCACTTTACAGTTCAAAAGATCATCCAGTCAAATTGGTTCAAAGTTTTCCATCTAAGGAAAACCAGTTGATTGCATTGACTCATTGACCCAAATAAAATCCATTACACTAAGCGTGCTTGTAGCGACAGTGGAGAGGAAAAACTCCCTTTTAACAGGAAGAAACCTCCAGCAGAGGTTTCAAGGGGTTCAAGGAGACAGAAGCAGAGATACAAAAAGCAGCTGTAAAAGGAAACACACAGCCAGGCAGACGAGCTC